TAAATTGTTCAATGAAGTTGATCTAGTCTTAGCATACTTTTCAAGAGATTTAATAGTGCATGATTTAAATGTATGATACCATTCGGGTATATTGTATGGCTTATTACGTAGATTTAACTAGTCCTGGTTGGGATGAAGGTTTCACAGCTCAGTGTCTCTGCACTTGGACAGATACATCTGCTGGTCCAGCAGCAGTTTCTGCATGCAGTGTCTGATGATCCTAAGGGGAAGGAAGTTTAACTTCTGTATAGCGATTGTTAGCTGGCATAGCCGTGCACGTTAAGCACGTTCTTTCAACATGTATTTGTGACCATCTTGAAGATGCTTTCACATGGGGGAAGAATTAAATCTATATCCAATATATGTTACTAAAAACAATGTTAGTGCCATCTTTTGGGCAAGATTTTAAAGCACATAAGTCAAGAAATGTGATGGTCTAATTCTACAGTAACCATTCTCGAGACCATTTGTACAGCTCATGTTTTCAAGTGAATATGCTTAAGACAAATGAAAAAGCTTTACGACACTTCTGCAGTCGTGTTATTTTGGGTTGCAGAGTAGTCAGACAGTATTGAAAAGTAGGACTTTTTAATAGTGTGTAGCGGTGTAACTACTTCCAACTTCTGACTCATCAGTAACTATTGCAGATTTCTCAAGTGGAGGATTTTTTCCAGTAACTTGATGTTCTGAATGAGTTTACAGTGAGACGCTGAGCCAGTGTTAACTCTGAGTAAAACAACAGCTTTGATAGCATCTACTTTCATTCAGCTTTTCTCTTTCCTTCACATATTCTTCAGCTCATCAGGAACTTATGCCTCTAGACTATTGGTTCTGTTGAATGCCTAGCAGATCACACATCCCAAATAATGGTGTTTTGGCTGTAAAACAGAGCTTTCTCTTTGGTTGATGAGATGAAAAACTGGGGACATGCTATAATTTCTAGACTTGGTCTTAAACAATGGGCCATCTTAGGAATAGACAGGGTTGTTCCACTGAAACCAGAACTGATGGTTATCTGTTACGTTGGTCTATTATTGACTAAAACTTACACCATACGCTTAATACCAACACACAGAACTTGTTTATTCTGGATGTAAGTACAACAAGTGAATTCTCAGTTAAGGTTCAATTAAGATCTTATAGCTGTTTTGGATTTCATTTTATTGGCTTCAATTAATGTACATATATTTTTCTGTCTGTGTAGCTCAGAAGTCAAACAAACAGCTCGGTCTGTTTATTTAAGAGATTGCATCATCACACATCTGACAAATGCACTCGCTGCATTTACGGCGTCATCGCACCGAGCGCATTTATTTGAACTTTCCACCATGTACATGGGATCACACATTCAGATAAACACAGCTGTGTTTATTTCAGGCTGCACAACTCCAGATTGTAGATGTACGTCTGCAGCCAGTGGACTGCACATGCACTCTACGGGATTTTTTTCAAACTCTTGTAGCTTCACTGTTTGTCAACCAAATGTCCCAAATACATCGAAGGCTCTTACCTCATTTAGAGCTGGGTGAAGATATGAAAGGAGACCTTCTCATTGTGTGCTTCAAAACAGTGTTATATTTGCTGAATACTTTATTGTCTTAAAATATTTATCCATCCTTGTTAAGGACCAATATCCGTACTCCCATTTGGCTGGACGCGTACACGTGAACGTCCTCATTTGTGTCTTACTTGAACTGACAAACCACCCCATTGACTTCAGTGTTGTCACCCTAAGATTTTGATGGCTCCGGTTTTGCTTTTACTACTCAGGCAAGTAACATTGCTCATGTGAATTGAAGTCAGTTGTTTAATGACTTCACTGATGGCAGATTTGGGCCTAAAGATGCTTCTTTATATGCAATTTGAATGAGCAAACCTATTCTTAACAGGGAAAGAAAAGACCAGCCGTGTGTGGCATGGCAGTGGTCGGTGCTGTGACATTTTAAAGTTGCCATTGTGGTAATTAAGGCCTTGATGATTCAAAGTCTTGAAATCAGATGTTGAGTAATCCCCTGGCGTTACTCATGTGCTTGAGTTGAGCTTAGGTGTAATTTCTTTTGTAAGAACGCTGGAAAAAGCATGTCTGACCCAAGAACACAGCTCCCTACCCTCACTCTCCTGCGTCAGGACACAAGGAAGTTCACTGAGAGCCGTGCGCGCTCAGGCTTTGAGTATTAGACCCAAAGTCCACACAGGACTGAAATTGCTCAACGTACCTATATACCAAGACACTTCCCCCCACAAAAGCCCTAGCGAAGATCTGCTTTTACACTGATGAGTCAAATGTATTTAAACCAAAAAATCTGGGTTTTTTCCTCACCCTACATCCGGCTTCTCCTTCAGTCTCAAATACTAACAAATAGGGTTTAATAAGAACGGTGTTTCTTGCACGGTAGGCCCAAGGCTTATGCTCTGCCGAACTGTGGTTCATGCAGATGCTACGGGTAGGTTTGAGACAGAATGCCTGTGTTTCCCCTCAGCTGGGAATTCTTGGGCTTTC